TCGAGGGCGGCCACGAGGGGGGCGAGGACCAGGAGGAGGGTTGGGGTGTAGATATCTTGGCCGGGCCATGATATGTCCCCTGATTTCACGGCCCCTCTTCTTTATTCCAGTGCTCCGAGGAGCATGAGGTATTGATAATGATACGTGCCTAGATTTCCAAGGTTTCCAGGATCCCCCATAGTTCCCAATGCTCCGCACCCGCTGCGTCGCTAGATACTCTGGAAGTCCTGGAACGCATCAGCAGCCAATCTCACCATGATATCACTATCGCCCCACATGCGCCCTTGGTCCCCCCCTCTCGTGGACGCCTCCGATTGGAAGGAGGGCTGCGGAGGCGGGCTGAGGGGGGAGGTGGGGCGATGTCTCGGGGCACAAGCAATGTCAGGAACATAAGAGCTCGGAGGTCGTCGCGGATTGTTCGGATCGGCGCTGGACCCCCCTCCGTGGCGCGCGGAGCGCGCCAGAGGCGGCGCCCCTGATCTGACCCGAGGAGTCCTCGCCGACCTCCGAGTTCTTATGTTTACTTGGCATCGCTCGGACGCGTGCGTTTTTTTCTCGGAGGGGACAATCAAGCAAATCAGCAAGCACAACACCTACAAGTGCACTGGGAAGGGACGTCCGAGCGATGGCAAGTGTATGTCATTGCTTGTTCCCCTCACGTCGGGGCGGCCCGGGCCTCCCTCCATGCTCGAGGGTCCCCTCGGCGACCCTGGCCTGTCCCCCTCGTCGTCATCCTTCTACTCCTCTCCTCCTCCTCCTTCTCTTCCTCCTCCTCCTCCTCCTCCTCCTCCTTTTCTTCATCCTCCCCCTCCTCCTCCTCCTCGTCCTTCTCCTTCTCGTCCTCCTCCCTCTCCTCCTCCTCCTCCTCCTCCTCCTCCTCCTCCTCCTCCAAACATACTGGGTCTCTGGGCATAAGTGCCAAGAAGGCCATGAGAAACCTTGGCCATGAGATGCATAGTTCAAGAGTGATGCGCGTGCAAGAAAAGGCTCGGTTGCGTACTCTTATGACAAAAAAAGCGGAAGGTCTGGGGCTTGAAGCACGCCCATTGGCGAGGCCGTGAAGCTTTTTCGGAGAACGGGACTCTTCCCAGCAGTTGGCCATGGTGCTGGTGTCTAGACTTTCAACGCATGTCCAATGTCTATAATCCCCCACTGTCTTCGCCTAGTCCAACCACTCCTCCTGCTCCCTCCTGTTCCCTTCCTCTTCTGAACTTTCTCTCCCGATCTCCATCTGCCTCCCTTCCCCCCTTCCTCCCCCTAACCCTCCCTCCCATCCTTCTTCAAGCAACGCGGCATGACGATGACAGGAAACAGCAAAAAGGGAAGGACAGTTTGAGTTTTGGTCCTTTGCTCGAGAGGGAACTCTGCGACTTCATTGTTGCAGCGCACCCATTCGGACCGTCGGTGCTCAATTGTTCTGGTGAGTTCGTCGTGCTGGTTTTGAGAATGACTACCATCACCACCCATATTTGTCACCACCGTGAACCACGATACCGTCGCCATATTTCGATCACACACAAGAAGTCCATGCAAAACACGTAAGTGGCAAGCAAACGCAGTCATCGCGCTTACTTGTAGCACCTCACACACACAAATAACATCAGCGCCATCCTCATTGTCGCCATCAACATCGTGTCGTAACCGCCACCGCCATCATCACCACCACCAGTATCATCATAGTCGTCAACATCTTTACCGTGACCAGCATAATGATGATGATGATGATGATGATGATGATGATGATGATGATGATGATGATGATGATGATGATGATGATGGTGATGGTGATGGTGATGGTGATGGTGATGGTGATGATGATGATGATGATGATGATGATGCTGATGCTGATGATGATGAGTATGATGATGATGATGATGATGATGATGATGATGATGATGATGATGATGATGATGATGATGATGATGGACAGCGTAAACCAGAATCATCGTCATCGTTGTCGTCGTCGTCATCGTCATCATCATCATCATCATCATCATCATTATCATCGTCGCCAAGATAGTTCCACGATGCAAATGGGGTTCCATCCTTGGTACGTGGTTCCACCCTTGATAAGTTGTTCCATGCTTGATATGTGGCTTCAGCATCACATTGGGATGACATGCGGCTCCACGATATCAACTTGGTCGTATTACCATCCTAATGGTTTCACGGGACCGCTGGGTCCCAGTAGAGGCCAGACACCAGACATTGCCCCCAGTGGGTGGCAGACACGGGACATTGGACATTGGGCGGCAGATTCGTTGCAGATGCCACACGCACACACACACACCAGACACCTCACCGGACATTGGATGTCGGACACCAGACGGACTCCAAACGCCAGACAAAACGTGCTTTTGGACACCAGATGCCAGACACCAGACACGCAGACACGACACTGGAACTCGCATGCAAGAGGAAGGGGGGGAGGCGCGGGGGCGGCCGGGCTCACCGCAAGATGTGTTCATGTTTCTTGTGCTCGTATCTCAAATGCTCGAGGCATGGGCTGGCAGGCGTCATCACGCAGGTGTGGTTTTCGCTTCCAGTCGTGCTCGGAAGGCGAGTGGCGATATGACTCATGATGAGAGCATCGTGTCGTTGCCCTCGCGGCCCTTGTTTTTGTTTGAAAGCCCTGGTCCACGCTAGGTTGGCACCGTATCTCAGTTCTTGCTTGTTGCTCTGCTTACGCACGGCGAGGGGCTTGCAGGGAGAGGTTTTGCACCTCCTGCTTCTGCGGCACCGAGTTCAGCATCGAACGCCTACGCAGCTGCCTTCGGGGGGGCCCGCCGATGATTATGCTTCCCTTGTTGTACTCTCTGACTCTCACGTATCCCTCCATGATCGCATGTTGGATTGTCATTCGTTTCTTGTTGATTTCCCTTGTCCGCCAGTTTCCCTGCTGTCACTTCTATTGAAATATTTTCCCATCCTCGTCCGTCTCCCTCGATCCTCCCGTCCCCTCTCTTCCCTTCTTCTCTTTTCATTCTCTCCTTCCTCCCCTCCTGTCCCGTCGCATCCGGTCCACCTGGTTGGGAGGCCAGGGGCCTGAGGGCTCAGAGCAGAGAGTCGGTGAATGACGACCCTGATGCTCGCGGGGGCCTTCCACCTCGCAAGGAAGCGAGTTCGGGAAATCAGAAGCATCCCAGCGGCTGGGCAGCGCGGGGGCGCACTATCGGTTATGCAGCACAGCACCTTCCGCCGCGTCCCACACTCTCCTTTCTTCCCCCCCCCGCTCCCCACCCCCTCCTTCGTCCTCCCTCCCCCTTCTTCTTCTTCTTCTTCTTCTTCTTTGTGTTGCTTCCTCTTTTATTTTTTTTTCTGTCCCAAACCATCCTGTGGTGTTGGGTCCTCGTTTTGAAGAGACTGCGCCCCGCGTCCCACCTCCTCTCCTCTCTCCTCCTCCCCCCTCCTCCTTCCTCCTCCGATCCCTGCCTCTGCCCTCCACACCAGTCAACAATTTCGGCACGCCCCTCACGCATCGTAGCACCATAGGAAGCCCAGCTGATCTCGGCCAGGCCGAGTCGACTGCAGCGTGGCCGATTTCAGCTCGCCGAGTTTAGCTTGGCCGCCGAGTTCACCCAACCAAGTTCAGCCTGGCCGTGTTCAGCCTTGCCGAGCCCTTCGTGGCCGAGTTTAGCTGCTGCCTGCGCGGCCCCCCCTGCGGCCGAGGGCGTGGTCGGCGCCAACAACCCGGTGATGGTGGCGGGGCTTCAAGCGCCCGGCATGCCCAGCGCTCGGGCGCCGATGACCCTTCGAAGAAGAAGAACAGCATACACATAATGTATCGGAGGTCCGCGCAGAATTCTTGGATCGGCGCTTGGCCCCGTTAGCGGCGCCTCCGGCGTCGCCCTGACTGACGCGTTCCGCGCGCCAGGGAGGGGCGTCCCGCTCAGATCCCAAAAATCCGCGCGGACATCCGAGAAATTATGTTTCTGCAGGTGTTTGTTCCTCTAGTGTCTGGAGGACCGAACTGCGAACGGAAAGAAGCGTGGCGAAGATTGACAGCAAATCTTGTCTACATGGAGCAGGACGTAATGTCGGCGTTACCACAGACGTTGTCCATCTGAGACAAAGTTGCCTGCCCAACAGCTGACGCTGTCGTCGTTGGACAACATGAGTTGTTGCGCACCGCACCCACTTCGGGCGTCCAGGTAATCGACGAAAGAAAAGTAAAAAGACATATGTTGTTTGAAGTCCGTGCGGAAGTCTTGGCTCGGCGCTGGTGTTCCCTCCTCTGGCGAGCGCTGGAGGCGTCGACCGACAGCGGGAGGCAGTGCGGATCCAGAAGTCGCGTAAGCCTCGAACGTTTATGCGCATGTAGTTTCTCGTTCTCTTAGGTAGCGGCGGTCGGGGGCGTCGGAGAGCGGGGTGAGGACCATGCGGGGGATATCATGGCTATACCGTGCAAATTTCGCGATGGATGGCCTCCCTTGATTTCTTCTTCCAATACGTCCCTTGAACCCCCATGGTCCGCGCACGTGCCTCGTGCCTCGTGCCAGGCAGAGTATGGGCATGATGATGCCGATGCTGATGCTGCTGCTGATGACGATTACGATGGCGATGGCGATGACGACGATCCTGACGGTGCTGACGACAAGGATGAGGATGATGGTGATGATTATGCTGATGAGGATGATCAGCATCATCATCATGGTGGTGATGGTGATGGTGATGGCGATGGCGATGATGATGGTGGTGACGATGAAGATAACGACGATGACGATGATGATCGTGATGATGGTGATGATGATGATGATGACGATCATGGTTATACTGGTGATGATGATGATGACGACGACGACGACGACGATGGGGATGATGGTGATGACGGTGATGGTGGTGGTGATGGAGATTATGATGGTGATGGTGATGATGATGAGGAGGATGATGGTGATGATGTTGATGATGATGGTGATTGTGATGATGATGCTGCTTATGAGTATGGTGATGATGATGATGTTGTTGATAATGCTGATGTTGATGTGGTTAATGCTGAAACT